AAATAAAGTGTGCAGAAGTGTGTTTTGAATAACATGCATATTTGGCATTATCATGTTCTCAAGAATCAATCACATGCACAAGTTCATAATTTATAAGTTAGCAATTTATTTACAATACATATTTAAATTTATATTTAAAATGTATAATAATGCATGTTTGCCCTCTTTCTTGGACATATAATGTTATAAAGAGAATAATTTATGCTGCATATATGTAGACATATTCTCATGTTGGAATTTACATAACCTGTTATTCCCTGTTGATGTATTGCAGTTGTGCAATACCCAAAGTAAAATAATTATGTCATTCTCTAAGAATTTATCTTGCATGTTCTGATTGTTCAGTTGTATAGAACATGGCTTAAAATATTGATTTAGATCAGAGCACTTGATTTAAAAAGAAATGAATATCATATACTGGATAGTAGTTTACACTTTTATTTTTCCAGAGTTACCCATCCCTCCAAATTAGAAACAGACACTATCCACACTGGGTAACACTTGCAGAAGCTATATAGGCCATGTGGAAACAACAGTCAGAAATCAGATATGCATGCACAGACAACACAACAGTGGACAAACAAGTGCCCATTACCAAGGACATTGCCTCAACATAGCAAAGTATTGTGGCAACAGCCATTTTAAGTTTGGGTGGTGTATTGGTTGATGTTTCTGGGGACTGCTCTATCAACAAGTCCATTGAGTAAAATAATATCATGATCAAATGGTTTTTCACTTAATTCAATAGTTTCTGTAAAAAATATATATCCTAATTTTGAAATAATGATTTTTATACACTTCATGTCTTTTTTTCAGTACATGAAACAAACTTTTATCAATTCTTCTGAAACAGGGGTTATAGATATGCAGCAGGGCCCAAAATTTTAATTTCCAATCACTTTAACTCAGTTAACCGATGCATTTTAAATATTGTGGTTAAAACTCAAAAAAAAAACACCAAAAAACAAAAAAAAAACTTTAATCTAAAAACTAACCTCATTCAGGATAAGGAGACTCATTTGAATATTTCAAAGCTTTGATCAAGATCTAGTAAACTGAAAGTCATGTCAGAGGGATCTTTACAAGTTTTATGTCAGATGGTACTAAACTACCTAAAATAAAACTTTCTAGAAATCAAAGAAGACTTAGGGTGATCCTAGGATCATTAATATATATATTTTTTAGATGGAAAAAGAAAGAAAATGGTAAAATTACAGGCCCTTTAAAAGATACACATTTTGTTGAAATCATATCTCCTATAATAGTTGTTCTACAAAATATGAAACAAAGGGTGAACACAGTTCATGAATCATCTCTATAATCAGTCTCTGTAGAGCTCAGTAGTCGTCAAAATACGTTTGACAAATACAAATTACTGTAGCATAATGGTATCCTAATGAGGATTTACTGTCATGCAGGATAAAATACATGCTTATTAACCCTGCAATTTCTATTGATGATGCATTTAAGCTTATGCATACGATTGTTGTATGCAATGTTGTTTCACTAAACATGGGACCATACATGTTAAGAAAGTTGCATCACTTGGTATATGGAATATCTCGGTTAACACTGGACCATATGTGTTAAGTAGTTGCATCATGTTGTATATGGAATATTTCTCTAAACACGGGACCATACGTGTTTAGAAAGTACATGTTTTGTACATGAAATGTTTTACTAAACACAGGACCATATACATGTTTAGTAGGTTACATCATGTTGTAATAGATATTGGCTAAACACAGGACCATATGTGTTTGAATAGTTAGATCATCTTGTATATGGAATGTTTCACTTAACACGGGACCATACGGGTTTAGAAAGTACATTGTGCATGGAATGTTTCACTAAACACGGGACCATACGTGTTTAGTGGGTCACATGTTGTAAATGGAAGATTGTCTTAACACGGGACCATACGTGTTAAGGAATTTATTATAGGATTAAACGTTCTTTTTGAAAAAAATTATCGATATGTAAACTCTTGACATTTTACTCACAAACTAAATAAAAGTGCGATAAAAGTATCGATGTGTAAAAATTTTCTTAAACGTGTTCTCGTCCAATCAAAACACAGGAAATCAATGGATAAAATGAAGATTGGAATTATACCACTTTGTATGTGTTATATGTCACTGAGCACGGGGCCATACGTGTTGAGGCAGTTTCATTACTTTAAATATACACAATATTTATTAATTTATTTGAAATGTCTCTTGCTGATATCAGTTACCAATAGTATGTCAGATAAGCGTTATACCATATGTATGACATTATCTGTATTGTCTGATTCCGCTTATTAGTTACATTACAGCTTTTCCTTTCTTTCACGCAGATCTATCTAATTTTTCATGTTTTTAGAGAAAACTAGCAATGTCTCTCTATATTAGAAATAAGTTATTGTAATTCTCAGTTTGCTGTTCATTCTATCCAGAAAATAACATATTACCTGGTGTCTGAAAAGTGTTTACTAAACTTTTAACCATAAGAAAAGACCAGCTGGGATAGGATACAATATTTATAAATTTAAATTATGCAATAGGCTGAAAACACCTTGCGTAGTAGGGCCCAAGCCAGAAGTTGTCTGTTGGTTCCTTATACATATCCTCACAAATTCAAACCCTTAGTTTGGTAATCTGTTTTTTCTCTCGAGTGGTCAGAAGTTGTCTGCAGTTAAGAGGAACATTTTTATGCAACATGATGTAAGTTTGACATCTCGGTTGACTGGTCAGAAGTTGTCTGCAGTCATGAGACACATTTTATGCAGCATGGTGTATGTTTGACACCTTTGTTGACTGCTTCAGAAGTTAACTGTCTGCAGTCACGAGGCATATATTTATGCAGCATGGTGAATGTTTAGCAAGTTTGTTGACTGAACAAAAGTTGCCTGCAGCTAAGAGGCACTTTAATGCTGCATGGTGTTTGTTTGATACCTTTGTTGACTAGTCAGAAGTTGTCTGCAGTCAAGAGGCACATTTTGATGCAGAATGGTGTAAGTTTAACAACTTTGTTGACTGCAGCATGGTGTATGTTTGATACCTTTGTTGACTGGTCAGAAGTTGTCTGCAGTCAAGAGGCACATTTTGATGTAGAATTGTGTAAGTTTAACAACTTTGTTGACTGGTCAGAAGTTGTCTGCAGTCAAGAGGCACATTTTGATGCAGAATGGTGTAAGTTTAACAACTTTGTTTACTGGTCAGAAGTTGTCTGCAGTCGACAAGGTCAGTGTTCATGATTATAAATTCCCATTTTGCTGTCTGGTTAATATTTACAACAGACAGATGTTTTGTATACTTTTTAAAATTATTTCATGTTTTGTCCTTTGTAATGTTTTCACTCAGTTTTATTGGATGTTTCTTTTTCTGTTCACAATAACTATTGTATTGTCTTTTGAAATGAGTATATGTCAATTTTTTTTTTAAACTGTTTAAATGCTTTTGTATTAACTATTAATCATCCTGTGGTGGATCCAATCTCTGATTGCATTGTGGCTGTTTGTTATTTTGTTTTCCCGCCTTTTTTGATGACAGGCAGCAGTTTATAGCAAAACTTATGATGTTTATAAGGGGGTCAACTTAAAATGCATGTATATTGTACCTTGTGAAAGATTACAGGGTTTGAATTATTATTCTAGTCTGGTTGACCCCCTTTTTGCCTATGTACATCATGTTACAATGTCATTATGGTGCTGGGGGTCAGATTGTGTAATATTTTGACTAAGATGTGTAATACTCTATATTTGAGTCCTCCTTTTTCTGACCCCCATTTTGTTAACTGTGTTATACTTTTCCGTCATTTACTTTAATAAATGACATATTTCACTTCAGCATGATGTTATTTGTTTTTGCCTGTTTATCAAAAACAAGCTCAGTCGTTTGGCAGGAGAACTAAGGAACATAAAATAGTAATTATTGCAAATAATTTCATTTATGTGACATGTTCTTGTTTTATCATGCTATTATATAACAGTGTCTGTATTGTACATAGCTTTATACTGCAGCTATTCGGTTCTTTTCATTGAACTAATTTTACACATTTTCCTTCATCTAAATATGGGTTCAACCAATCAGCAAAGCTCTTATCCATCACGTGATCATTATTGATCCGTTTACCAAAAGAGAAAGCATGGTTTATTGAACTGCTGAATTTTTCGAACCCACCATCCACCCCATCTGCCACCAATGCTTGTTATTTCTTTCAGGTTGACGTTTTTGTTGTTTTGTTTTACCCATCTCTTTTTGATAGTGTTTGAATGAGTTTAGAAGAGATTTATAGTATTTTTTTTTCTACCACACGTTCTAACTGAACAAGTAAACTTTTTGTACATTGTAATAAATGGCAAATCCATGTATTAGGTTACTGAGAATGAGTCCGACATTTATTTTGTGTACCTCGCAATTTTGCTTCGGTCTGCAGGTTTCCATATGATTTTTCAACAAAAAGCAGTGTTGCTTTTTTATATATGGTTTTTCCTCGGCGGTGAGAGAAACATAGCTGTGTTCAATTTAATGCCTGCGCGATTGTATTATTGGCTGTTTGTTATTTTGTTTTCCCACCTTTTTTGATGACAGGCAGCAGTTTATAGCATTTTGTATATGTCTTCCAAACTTATGATGTTTATAAGGGGGTCAACTTAAAATGCATGTATATTGTACCTTGTGAAAGATTACAGGGTTTGAATTATTATTCTAGTCTGGTTGACCCCCTTTTTGCCTATGTACATCATGTTACAATGTCATTATTGTGCTGGGGGTCAGATTGTGTAATATTTTGACTAAGGTGTGTAATACTCTATATTTGAGTCCTCCTTTTTCTGACCCCCATTTTGTTAACTGTGTTATACTTTTCCGTCATTTACTTTAATAAATGACATATTTCACTTCAGCATGATGTTATTTGTTTTTGCCTGTTTATCAAAAAACAAGCTCAGTCGTTTGGCAGGAGAACTAAGGAACATAAATAATATTTTCAATAAATGATACAAACATATGCGCTGTTTTTTTTTTCATCAGTTCATAAAAATCAAGATATACAACACGTGTGATACTCAATAAGTATTTTACGTCAGGAAGTATATAAATACGTGTGACAAAATCCTCTTTACTGCATTCAAGAGTGGGAAGAGAATCATTTTATGAAAGGATCTAAAGGTAATTACTCTTTTGTAATAATTTAAATTATTTTTTTATTGTAACTTGAGCAGCTTAATATTCTATTTTTCCCTCAAGTTATACTTTTTGGAAGAGACAAAAGCCTTGAAAAATTGCTGATACATGTATCCAATGCATTGTTCATATTTTTGCTTTGAATACAAGTTAAAATACTGAATATAGAAATGTTTGTGTACAGTTTCTACCTGTAATATAAGCAAATCGATTTGGATAACAAATGGAATATGGTTTAACTCGTACTTAAAACAGTTGTTTACTCTAAATTTATCCTTGTTACATGTAAATGAATTAAAAGTTTATTATATATATTTTTTACTTAATAGCAGCGTGATAAAATCACTAAAATGTCATGTGGAGGTCATTCCACCTTCTTCAGATTTGGCTGTCTATTCCTCCTCATGGCTCTTATACTGGACGTTATAGGTGTAGCTGCGCCATATTGGATCTATGGCGAGGCTAATGGCTTGAAAGTATATGCAGGACTCTGGAAACAGTGTCTTTCCGCCAATACCCCTGACCTAAAAATTTCCAAATGCACTGAGTATGGCGATGTCCCAGGTAACAATTAATTAAAAGTAATAAATAAGTAATATATTATGTAATTTAATTCTGTTTGTGAAGTGCCATTTGACTGGATAAAGAATTTACTATAGTCTATATCGTATAACCTGGGTTGCCTATATCACAATGCCTTACGTCAAAAACGTTACATTATAAAAAACATGTATGTACAATTTAAAGGCATTCTTGATTTGGGAATTGTTATATTTTTTACACTTAACAATGAAAATTATATTTAATTCATGACTTTAACAGCTATCCAAGTTATACTCGCATAACCTGGGTTGGAACATTTTACGGTTTTACATAAACCGCTTCTGAACTTAGATAGCTATTCTTGTTTTCTTGTTTTAGATTGGTTTAAATCAGTTCGAGCATCTGGACTGCTTGGGATTTTTATTTCGGTCATTGCTCTTATTTCTGCCATCCTCAAGATACGTTTCAAGGACCGAGTCTTCGTGCTAATCATTGTGATCATCTTGTCCTTTTTGAGTGGTATATGTACTGTAGAATATATATTGACATTAATGAAAACACAGCTCTTTTTTTACGTAGACATTTTAATTAAGTTTTATGAGTTTTTTCTCTAAGGATAATAGTCATATATAATTTAAGCCTAATATGAAATCTGCTATTTGTGATACATGATAATCCTGCTGCCTTCATATCTAAACTTATGGAAATAGCTCAGATTTATTAAAACAAACGAAATTAAAGATTTCTGCAGGTATAGCGGTATACTTTAAAATGTTTTCTTTCAGCTGTGTGCACCATGGTGTCCATTGCTGTTTACGCAGGAAAATATCATGCATCGGAAAAATACAGCAGTTTTGTCAAATTCAGCTTTGCATTTGCTTTTTGTGCAGTTTCCATCGTTCTCTCGGCCATAGCTGGAATTTGCATGATTATTGAATTGTCAAAGAGGTCATCTTACACTACAATAGTTGGGCGCTGAGAAAACACCAATTTAGGACTGCCGTAATGAAAAAAAATACTCAATGTTTTACATATATGAGGACTGTCCAAAAAGTCTATTACAATGTTCATAACGTTATAAACATTCAACAAATTCATTCAATACAATCAAATTTGGCATGACCATAACAAATTCAATATGTTCCTGATAATAGGGAATTCTAAAGGACATACGCAATTTTAATGCCTTTTTCCCTGGAGTTGAAAAGTTCCAATATCTAAGGAAACTGTCTGCTACATTTTATTGTCCATATGATTATGTATGTTAATTATAATTATGGATTCATTCTATCTATTCCCACTTTTTGAAAATCATGTAGAAAAAGGTAAGATTTTATATGAGAATAGGTGTAATTTTGTGTAAACAAATAATTAACTATGTTCTTAAATTTAGGTATTAAGTTGCTTTTTCTTGTAAGATCTTTTAATTATTTCAAAAATCTGAGATAAATCATATTTTCTCATAGATGTATTCATTATTTTCTGTCTTAAAATGTACAAAATACAGGTAAATCTAAACATCTACAGTTATTTGCAAGTGGGAATAGGTGGAATTGAGATTTTTAAAAAGTGGGAATAGCTAGAAGACACCTAATTATGTACACTTCCTCTAAACCAAGTTTGGATAAACAAAACATCTACAATATATGTGTAGTAATTTTTGAATATTTTTCAAAAAGTTATTCCAATAAGTGATATCTCTTATTCAAATTCTAGAAAGTGATATCACTTATTTCATATGAATTGGTGATATCACTTATTCCAATAAGTGATATCACCTTTTCAAAAGGAATAGGTCATATAACCTATTCGAACAAGTGATATCACCTATTCGAATAAGTGATATCACTCATTCGAATAGGTAATTATATCAAATATTCGAATAGGTGATATCACCTATTCAAAATCGGATTCGGTGAAATCACTTATTCGAATAGGTGATATCACCGATTGAATAGGATTCGAATACAATGTAGGTGGTATCACCGACTGAATAGGTGATATCACCTATTTGAATAAGTTATATCACTTTTTGGCAGTAAAATTTACCGAAACGGTATCTTATAAATTATGAACATTATGGGCCATGATCGACGTCAAACTTCGTATAATTTCTGCTTATACTTCAAAGTCAGGCGACCTTTTGACGAAGGAAAGAAGAAGGTACAGTTTCAATACAAATAAAGCCCTATATTTTTCTAAAATATGAAAATGATATAAGAAAGTAAAATTCATTTTTTCTGAAACATAGTAATTCTTTGCAGTAAGAATACACAAATGGTTTTTCTCATATGACCTTCTAAATGCTAATTGTGACGTCATTAACTTGTGCATTTTCCCGTATTTTCTTAAAAAGTTGCAGAAGACATCAATTTTCAGTGGAATTTTCTTTTAGAAAACATACTCTGCCACCGTCGCCCGGAAAGATTTTGAGATATGTGATTTTTCATAGCTGTTTGCACAATATATCCAAAAATTAAAGCGGGCGACGGTGGCAGACACTATTTTCTAAAGTAAAATTAGCAGAAAAACAAGTCATTTTGAAGCTTTTCTGCATTAAACTTAAAAATGTACCAAATTAATGACGTCATATTTCAAGAAAGGCTCTTCTTCATGGCATATTCTCTAATTATTTATCATATTCATCTACTCAACTATTGTTAATGCCAATTTCAAAACTTTTTAAGAACATTAAATTTTTAGGGCACAATATAGCTGAAACTGTACCGTCTTCTTTGCAAAGGATAGAGAAATTATGAACAGTAGTAAATTTAAAGAGTTTTAAGTCAAGAGTGGTTAGTAAATTTTCAAAATCAATAAGATCCTTTCAAACTCGAATTCATTATAATAAAATGTTTTATTTAACAATTTATAATTCAGTCAAATGCTGACTGATGTTTTTCATACTAATTGTCAGTCCATTATTTAAACGCTGAATTGACAACGGATTTTCCCGTCATTTCCCGAACATGACAAGGAGCAAACGGTGCGTGTGACCAGTCGATAAGGGATGCTCACTCCTCCATGACACCTGATCCAATCTCTGATGTTTAGGAGGTCCATGTTTGCTCTGCTCCTATTTTGTATTTTTTGTGGACTTTTGAGCTTGAATACTGTTCGTTATCTCCATATATTTCATTACTATGACAAGAAAAGAAATTTAAGTGAGCAAGATGAAAATAAATTATATTCTCTGTCTACGATGTTTTGGGACAACCCTCGTTAAAATGTATTATTTTTAAAGAGCTGTTTTTTTTTTTTTTTAGAAAAACAAATGATAATATCATTTAAGCTTAAATAGAGTGCGGAATGCATTTTTCCCAGTGTTTACCTATATATAATAAACATAATGACTGATCACAAAGTATGCGCAGACAACCATATACCATATTCATTTGAACAAAAGAAATATTTATAAGTATATAGGAGTCTCCAAAATCAAATCAAATAATTGAGATAAAGGCAACATTTATTTACAATGAGTAACGATAAATATTATACATCAGTTTTTAAGATGAAATTTTGTTGCTCATTTTTATAGCATTAAAGCATATTGTTGAAGCCTAAGGGCTATTGTTATAATTACTGTATGGTTAATTACCTGATTGTATGATACAAGCACCTCTAATAATTATTTCCTTATATGTTTTATTTATTGCATTTCAGTTCAAATTACAAGCATGTCCTTAAACAAAAGCGGAAATATTGAAATATTGAATAAGTGAATATTAACCAAGAAAATCCTTATTAATTAAATTAGAAAAAATTTAAAGCAGGCTTCATTGTTTTCCGTATTCAATTACGAAACCAAATAGAGTATGGGAGTAGTTATCTCAATGCCAAATCAAACTTTTTGATAATTGCGAAAACAGGCATGAATAAATATATAAAACACAAAATAGAAATTTTAAAAAGCAAAAAGAGTACCAAGCCAACATCCATGCTGTTTACAGGATGTGTGTTGTTATACAAGGATTGAAGCTTATTTTAACCTGTTATACGATATAACATAACTTTGGACAGTTTACGCTTTATTATAAAAAGTGTTTTAAATTTACCCAAGTTATGTTATATCGTTAAACATGGTTAAAATAAGCTTCATTCCTTATAATTTGCTTCAACTTGAGCATACTGTAAAACTAACGTCACGCGGAATAATACATTTAGACAACTCATTATGATGTATGCAACATGTTATACCATATAAACTAATTTTTATTTCCAATCAAATGACGCATTACAACTAAAATTAAATTATTCCCATAACAAAAGCATAACCGTAATTAGAGTTTCAAATTCTAAATGCTTAGAACAAAAGAAATAATATAAAAGCCTAATACTAAGAACATGTTTAAATTATTTAGGTACTGAAATGCATTTCTCAGCATTTGCCATACTTAATCTGGATTAATTTTGATGTTGACCAAAAAAAAAAAAAATAAAAAAAATAAAAATAAACTGCGTTCACAATGCGCCAATTTTCATCTCTTTTATCAGTGAATTGTCGCCTAGCTTTGACGTTAGAGAAGTATTTCGCGGAAAACCGATTAAGATAATATCCTATCGTCTTATAAATACAATTTGAATTTCGACTCTTAAATTTCGATCGGAATATGCATCCTACAACATTTGTTGAATTCATTTTTATAATAAGAAAGATAATCATTAACTTATAATTATGTTTCGTTAAATTACGCTTTTTTACAACATACAATAAGTCTTTTTTGAGCAACAATTAGCAAGTGAGACAGAAACAAACGTTATAAATGTAAAAATGTTCTGACAATACTTTTTATGTTTCTTTTATGGCTTAAACAATTTATTTTAGTCGCCCGAGTGGCCCAGTGTTTAAAGCGTCTGCCCTCGAATCGCAAATTTAAGTGTTGACAGACGTTTTTATACTAATTGTTAGTCTTTTTACTCCTTTATTTATACTCTGAATTGGCGCGGGAATTTTCCTTTATCTCCCGATCATGACAAGGAGCACACGGCGGGTGTGAATGGTCGGCAGGGGATGCTCACTCCTCCATGCCACCTGATCTCATTTCTAATGTTCTGGAGGTCCGTGTTTGTTCTGCTCTTATTTTGTATAGTGTTATGGACTTTGATATTGAAGACTGTTCGTTATCTCCATGTCCTTCATCCTTACGTCGCAGATTCGAATTCCACTGTGGGACCTTGAGACCGGTCATCCGGATGAGACCTTATAAACCGAGGTTCTGTGTCGCAGTATATCTTGGCACTAAAAAGATCCTTCCCTGTTCAATGACCGCAAGAGCCGAGAATAGGACAAAAATTGCAGCTCTCCATCGGCAAGTGGTGGCGTCTACATACATTGTATGAGTGAAAAATTCAACATACAAACAATCCCTTTGACTGCTGTTAATACAAGTGTTTCTTTCCTGTCACTCGTTATACTATTGATGACCAATAATAATATATATGTCCTTCTGTTTAGTAACTTGAATTTAACCACCGAGGTTTTAAGAAAAGGCATATCCAGTTTTAAATAAAAGGACTTTAATCGGAAGTTCATTTAGGTGAGTAACCCTTTTGAACATGGTCCTATGTTTGTTTTCATAATAAACTTAAATTTTAATTTTTTCTTTCTTATTTTTGTTTGTTAGTTTGTTTGCAGAACATAAGAACTCCAATTTTACAAAAGGAAGTAAGTTTGTAAGTTAATTCTTTCTAATGTATATACCTTAATTAGAAAGTTGACTTATTATAGACGATACGTTATATAAATACAGTAAACAATCATTGTTTATATTTGTTAAAATGCTGTGAATGTTTGGAAATATGAGACTAATTATAGTTTGTTTACTTTTACATCTGCCAAAACAAGCTTCATTTTAAAAATAAGCATGCCTTTAAACATTATTATAGACATGCAATCATCAGGTAGGAAAAAAATTGTAAGAAAATTGTACAGTAGTGTACTTGTAGTTACACATACTTCCCTTTTATTGGAAGTTTAATAAATTTATGACAAACGTTAAATTATTCTTAATTTGTCTGAACTGTTCAGTTTGTAGTTTTAATATAATAAATAATTAATTATATCTTAAGACACTGCATGCAGACTTATAATACATTTTTAGTGAAATTTATATATACATCGTATATACTCAAGAGAGGTGAAAAAGAGCTAATTCAAACAATAATGCACAATGCATTTCAGATCACTGTTGTGTTTGGCTCCATCCCTATCCTCTTGCCCCTATCTTATTCAGTAACTATAAACTGATTTCCTGTGAAACTTCTATCCCAGTTTGTTTGATAGCTGACAGGAAACAGTATTAAACAAACTCTTTGTGGCCAAGAATGTTATAAAAATGATTTCAATTAAGTTCCAAAAAACTTAATTCTATTTTTTATGTGAAATAGAAAACTTTTAACTTAAAATCAAATCAATTTATAAAGTGATTCAACTTGAAATTGAGCCATATTTGACAACGATTGCATTATTATTTGTTGTTTAACGTCCCTTTCGAGAATTTTCACTCATATAGAAAAGCCATTATATACTGGTGAATAAACTTCAATTTTAGACCTTTAATCCTCACTCAGGGCCATTGAGCAATGAGGGATATTGCGTCGGGCCTCGGGTTTAAAGGCCTCTTCCGAAGGACCCTCAACATATAATACTTCAAAGTGCCGTTCTGTTGGCAAACGAGAAATTGTTGTCTTTTTTTCGACTATGTTCAAAAGTAAATCCTGCTGACAACCCGTTTCCCACTTAACCTTCCAATTACCAATAAAGGAATTGGTGCGGTTTGTATAAATAATTCACCTGCGATTTTATCATTTTTCGAAATCATTGATGGACATGATGTATTGTACCATTGAAGTTTCTCCATCACCCCTGTTAATGTCTTTAAGGAGTACATGTAACGGAAGAGGCTTGGTGGAACATTTACATTTACATGTAATAGAACTAGACATTTTTTCTGTGTCTGTAAGAATTTTTATAATGTTTAGAAATAAAATTAACTTTAATTGTTTGGAATATTGAAAATATTTTATAACTGACCTATTGTTTTGAAGAAATTCAATAGGAGCTACCTGTTTACATGCATTATTGGATTTGCGCTGTAATACCCGGTATATTACGTTTATTTTTTTTATGAAATGAGTAATACATTTCGTTTTCATTTCTTTTCAGACGAGAATATGGAGCGTCCGGCAGTCTTGCTCATTGCATTGGTGATATTAATTTGCGCAGTCATCCTTCAGTTATTCGGCCTAGCCTCACCATATTGGATTTCTAACGAGAATTCAATAGATCCAGAAAAACATTCAGCAACGTACGCTGGTTTGTGGAAAATGTGTACATGTAAAGATACTGGCGATTACCTACAGAATGATATAGGTGAGCAGACAAATGAATGCCGTACCGTTTCATGTTATTTTATTACCTAATTATATTTATCTTCATTTTACTTAAACAAAGATTGAATTTTTATTTGCAGATATCTCAAACAGCCAGTTGCGCACTAAATCTTCTCAAACTATGAGTATCCTGGGCTTCGTTGCACTCATGTTTGCTTCAGGGTTGACAATCTTAAAGTTATGTTTTCTTAAGCATATGAAACCACTACTAATTGTGTCCAGTATTTCAGCTTTTGTTGGAGGTATGTAATATTCATGGAATTTTTAAGGAATAAATTTATTCCAAAACACAATGATTGACACTGTATTATACTATTGCAATAATTATCAATTAATAATTTATTTTCAGGTCTCAATTAAGTAGAATACCGGTGTATAAAAATATTCTATTCAACATTTGAAAAAAAAGGATACACTCATCCACAATATACAAGAATCATGAACCGACAAAACTCATTGATGACTAGTAAAATGCAATGACCAAATATCTTTATAAATACAATTAAGAATCTCTCATTTTTACCTCTCAATTCAGTCGTATAGAAGTTGTAAAAATTCTCAGGGGCAAAGCCCAATGGATATAATTGTCCTTTTCTTGTTGTCGCTGAAAGAGTTTTTTTTTTTTTAAGAACTTTTGATACAAAATTTATCCTGTATAGAGGATCAATAAATTTCACTAAGAACTGAGCTGCAGATCTGTGGCTCGCTAGAAAAAACGACAGAAAACTACGTACAGTGCCATCCTTAGAACTTACTGTTCATTTAATTGTCACTTTAAAAAAGTTATGTTCGGCTCTTGATTACTTTCTTCAAATTTTTACTTAAACTACACGAAAGCTACACGTTCTACATAGCTACGTTGTACTTAGTTTAACTAGCAACAAATAATTCGTAACAATTAAGTCACAACAAACAAGTTATGATAAAATGACTCATAACAAGTAAGTCAATGTCCTTCCAGGGCCTCTGTACGCTTTAGATCGAATTATCTTGCTATCCAAAATGGGAGCAATAATGGCAGTATGAATTAGCAAAGTTTTCTATGGTTTCCATTTTAAATCTAGGAGGGCTATTAACAATAATTATAGCGAACTTTTGTTGTGGAAATAGTTAAATATTATGTTAGGATCACATCCTTAGTAATACTTGTTTTTTTAATTTGCAGTTTGAAAAAAACATGGATACAGTGTAAATATTATTAAATCGATAAACGGCGCACTTTTGATATATATATATATATATATATATATATATATATATATATATATATATATATATATATATATATATATATATATATATATATATATATATATATATAAATTTTTTTTGAAAAGGTGGCATTGTACCTCTCCGGTCTGTAATTATATTTTTTCAGAGATCTACAGTTCTGCAGATCTATACCAAGAAAAGTATCCATAAATGAAATTTTAAATGTCTTTATTTTTTCATTGCAGCTTTCTTCATTGCAGTTTCCATTCTACTGTTTGCAGCTGACGTCAATAATGCGAAGCTACTATACAGATATGAATTTCATTTTGCTTTTGCCTTCTCCATTCTGGCAATGATAATAGCTTTTGTGTCTGGGGGTTTTATGATCCTAGAAATACCAAAGTAAGCTACACAAGAAATCCAAGAAACAGATCAAGAAATAAAGTGATTTCCTGAATATACAAGCTTTTTCTTTTGTCTAAAAATGATGGCGTGTTTGAACAGTTATATTTGTAATATCTAAATAAATTCGTGAAATTTTAGAAAATCTATTTTAGTTATGCCGTACGGCAGTTTTTTTCTTTTAATGTTTTGAATGTGAACTTGAGAAAAGGATGTGTTAGAGTACTCAATTATTATATTTGCACAAGTGCTCCTACATGTAAATATATATTGACACTACATCCATATTAGATTTTATTAATGTAAGGCTTTTTTGACTGCCCCTTTTCATAAAAGATAATAAAGTCATGTTAATACCCCCCGCTTGAAAAGTGGGAAGGTATACTGTAATCGGTATGTCCGTCCGTCCGTACGTCTGTCCTCTGTCTGTTACGCTTTGGGGTACCAATCTATCATCCGCAACTCCTCTTATACCACTGAGTGAAATTTCATGAAACTTTCACGGAATCTTTAGTACGTATTGCCATTGTGCACCTCCTATTTTACTTTTTGATCCGACACATATTTGGGGTTTCCCGGCCACAGAAAAACATGGACTTTGCCATCATAACCATATGGGAGGTGGGGGTATCATTTAGTGAGCTTATTGCTCACAGAACGATCTTAAGGAGGCTTGGGGTTTAACACATTAACCATTAGATATAACGTATTTTTTCCGATATGATATCTTAAGCAGTCAATTATCATTTGGCAAAGAAAAATATCATACATTTTAGTTTCAAAATTTGTACATTTTTGTTAATTTTATATGGACCTCTTCTTCTAAAGGAGATCAAAATAGTCTGAAAATGGCTAAAACCACCCAGCCCTCTTAATTTGTAAATAACATTCATGTTGTGATTTAATTTTATTATATGTTGAAACTTTAACATAAGCTGATTATATGCTGATACTTAAACATAATATATACATTGACTGTGTTTGAGGGTATTATGCGTTTTATCGGAACTAAGAATCAAACTATTTACCTGAGGCCGTTACAGTTTGGATCGAGGGGTCGACAAATGCATGTTGCCCGAGAACACAGTCTATAAATGATTTGTTGATTTAAAATTTCTCAGGTTTTAAGGAGGTTCGTTCCTGTTATCAAAAGTATTGAACTTTTTTTTGTCGAGTATATTTTTAGAATCTACTTTACATCTATTAGCTTAAGAATAAATCACAAAATGGGGGTCTGTGCACTTCTTTTAGCACTAGCGAGCAATTAATATGTTTTAATTGCACTATAATTACGTCTAATACGTAAATCAATTTTTCAAAATCTTTCTTTTTAAATTATTATCTAAATTAATGATTGGATCAAACACGGTCTTTTTTTAAATCTGAAATAGTCATATTAAAAATTGTCACAACAAAAATAGTTTCAAATTTTTGGCAAAATCAATAAATTGAACTTTCTGCACCCAAAAAATGTTATTATACCCCCGCTTGAAAAGTTGGAGGGTATATATAGTAATCGTGATGCCCGTCTGTACGTCCGTCCGTCTGTTAGAATTTGGGTATTCTTATCTGCTACTCCTCTCATACCACTAAATGAAAGAAGATGGAGGGGGGGGGGGGATAGGGCGGACGAAGTGCCTATAGTGCGACAGATAAGAAATGAAAAATTTAATCTCAATTATATCCTAATTTTATTTGATATTTCAACTAATATTAAAGTATACTTCATGTAAAATCTCTACAATTTACAAAAGTCTCACAGAGACTGAAAATATTTGCCCATGAAAAAGCATACAAACACTAAAAAGAACAAAATCGATCATTTTCTCATACTTTAAGAAAATTTTTCAACATGAGTGGGTCTTCGCTCCATTTTTTTTTTTTTGAAAGATAATCCTAAAAGTTTGCGATAAAATATACATTTTTTGGTTTACAAAAACATGGAGCGAAAACCTTTCATACCTTAAAAGTACACTTTTATGACAAAGTATTCGCATCTTTCCGAGAAATAATTTAAGTCCATTAAATCAAGGGTCTTATAACAAACATGATTTAAATGCCTAAAATCAGCATGAGCCATGTAGCATACATGTGGTAAGCACGTTAGTCCCAACGCAGTTTGATGCGTCGGACTATTATTGCTTAGGGTTTGAGTCCCACGAATACCACTTAATATTTTTTATAATTTCCTGTGTTTGTCAGTTTGGTGAATCCAGGGCTCCCCAACCTTGGCGCCATTCATGTAATCATATACTGCTGGGGCAATAAAAAAAATATTCTTATAAAGGAGAAATTTTTACGAGATTTTTTTTCTTTCAGAAAAGTTTTTTTTCCTCATAATTTTATAAATTTCAATAATGAGAAGCTAATTTAATTACTCAGTTTACATTTTGAATATGATTTCTTAATATCAGACGCTATAGGCATTCTGCCCGCCTTGTTCACCAATCTTTTTTTATGAAACTTTCACAGAATCTTTATTACATATTGCCATTGTGCACTTCCTTTCCAATATATATTTTACTTTTTGATTCGACACATACATGTATTTTGGATTTCCAATTATAGTAAAACATGGACACTGCCATCATAATCATATTGGAGGCGGGGTATCATTTAGTGAGGTCATTGCTCACACTACCTCTAGTTTTTTTTTCCGGTGTTAAAAATTTAAAAAGCAACAAAAGCATTTGAAAGTAATGATACTTTTTTTATTTTAAGCAGAATGGTAATTCAGAAAATGAAATAAAAAGTGGGGGCTGTAATGTTAATTTTTAGATTTTACTAAAATAGTGCTATTGTTAAGCTTAATTGGGCAATTTCTGTCTTTTGGACTTTCACAATATATTTGATATATTTGCCACATATAATGGTAGAATTCATGAAAGTTAATGTAATATATATAATTTAAGACCAGCATAGAACATTTCACTGCAAAAATTACTCTGTATACTGTACAGACTGCATGTAAAAATGAGAATCAACGCTTAACAATACTGAATACTTTGAAAGAGAAAAAAATGGAACTTTTTCTTCTAAAAATCCTTCCGCCACAAAATATAGTTCCTTACAAAATGTTTTTTTATTGTGTGGAGTTTAAAAATGGGGTTTAAATTGAATATAGTTTAATTAACATTAGAGAATCCAAACTTATTATAAGAACTAAAACAGTACGTTTTTTTTAAAAATAGAGGTCAAAACAAAAATGTGCTGAAACCTTGTTAACATACATTTGTATTGAGCTTGCTTCCACAATGTATATTTCCTTTACCCCAGTTAGGTTTAACTTAGTTAGTTGCGTCACTTTCAAACGCCAACGTATAAAGAGATTTATTATATGCTGATATTTTCAAACTGTATGCTAATACTTCAACACTACATGTATGTGCTGATTCTTAGACATTATATGCGGATACTTTGACATTATGTGCGGATACTTTGCCATTATACTGTGAGTATACTATAATGAAATGGTTTTTTTAAAGATAGGTCAAACTTTGAAACTATGAAACGAAATTTGCCCAAAACGCGTGTAACTGAACGAGGAAAAAACTAATAAAGGCATATCCTAGCTGAACTGATATTTTTAAAGCTATAATAGTAGCAAAGCATGATTCTTCGATTTCATGCTTGATCCTGCTTAGAGACATATTCTTACTGGTAATGAGATATTTTTTGCCAAAGTCGTATTTTTCTCAGACATCAAAATTCAAAAGCTCTCATAGATTTATTGAAAGAAAATCAAATCCGATTGAATCAGATAGGTTGTTTGGCGCATTAGTGCGTTTCTGACATTTTATCAGCAAAACAGCTCTACCTGGTCGGAAAAATGCATTTAGATTTATCGTTTACCTTCAAAATACATTTCTTTAGGTTACTTTACAGAAAACTAAAGTAAAGGTTGTATTTTAACGAATGAATAAATTAATTGTGCAATGTGACCCCTCAAAAGGACACATATTTCACTCAAACATCCAACTGAAAACAAAACTTATGTTGTGTTTCCTTATTAGTGGATTTCTTCTGGCCAAAGAACTTTTGATTTAGCCATTCCCTTCACTAAACAACTTTCTATAAATCTGAAAATGTGCATATCGCTTTCCAAAAAAAAAAAAAAAAAAAAAAGGAAAGGTAAAAATGACATAAACTTTTTATAGCACTTTTATTAATTTTTCCTACATCTAAAGCTGTATATGTTTCATGATTAATAACTTTTTATAGCACTTTTATTAAGTTTTCCTACATCTACAGCTGTATATGTTTCATGATTAATACAATCTTTCTTTTTGCATGCAAACATTGAGACAATTATCCGATTCATTCTTTTTCCAATTGTTTAAACGGTAAGGTGTAGCTTCATAAAAATCATTTGAAGTCAGAGGATGTACAACTACAAAGCTAAGACTACAGTGCTCAGCATTTGACTCAATGATAAATTGTATTTGCTGACAAGGTCATTGTATCGACCGTAGAACTCAAGAAATGATGACTTTAAACGAGACTGTTAACATTCTTGTTTCATCAACTTATCTGTCAATAATTTACCTCGTCTTAGAAATTGTTCATACGTAGAACATGCTCTTGCATATCGAATCAACTGAGATGTATAAACTCCGTATGCAGGTGATGAAGGTATATTGCTGCATAAGTAATGGATCGGAAGTGGACGATAAAAAAGATAAAGTCATCACGTTTATCAAAGAGCTTGGTTGTTAGCTTACCATTAACGTCTTTTAAGTAAAATATCCAAATAACATATCCTCAGAATTGGACTTGTGTTAGGATATGATAAATATATATACATTGTATATGGTAAAATGAATTAATCTTTTATACATATAAATTTACTGACATACAAGAGTTGATTGTCTTTTATCAGTGAGTTGCTGAAAACGGTAATCATATATAATAAGCCATTTTAAAAAAAATCCAAAGAAAAGAGAAACATTTGGGTTATATGACAATATTAAGACAATAAAAAAACGGTAATTATAATTACAACATTATGCGGAAGATTGTAACGAACTTCTGTGGGCTGAATTTAGGAATGCAAAATGAATGACATGTAATGAATTTCACAGGTCTTGTTTAGAAAAATACTATCATCATTTAAACGGTGTGTACTTGCCTTTTTTTTAAGGAAAGTGATCA